ATAACACATCGAGGGGAGGGAATCGTCTCGTGCCAAAGGATGAATCTCTGAAAAGCTCAACGCACACGATTAGTCCGCAAAAGCATTGTCATCAATCACCAAAACACCTTAGGGATAAATATGCCCTTACAGAAACATCACAAATGAGGTTGTTAACTATCCGAGCTTGCCAAACATTAGAAGATAGGGGTTTACCTAGTGAATTTTGTTGAGTTCTTAAACAACAAACTTTGTAGGGATCTTGAGTATCTTTACTCTTTAGACAAAGAAACCTAGGCTTTGGCTTGACAAAAGAAAAGAAAAAAGACAATGCATATAACTTTTGTTGGTAAAATCTACTTTATGAGGGTAGCATATCACTAATACGATGAAATGAAGCAAATGCACAATAACAGTTGTGATACACTTCTTACTCGGGTATGGTTGGGAACTTGTAATGGTACCTCTGACGACCAAACCGTGTCACTCAATATGAAAATAACTTCAATTTATTAATCATTATTTTCTAGGATACATCACCTAAAATAGGATTCCCTGGTTGTCTAGAGCTAAACACATCTTGTTACTTACCGTAGCAGACTAAAAAACCTAGCATCAACAGTGAGTACTGGGCGTTAACCCGTGTTTCTCTATTAACAAGATGAAACTTAGGTTGTTTGTAGAATCTTAGTATTGTGATCCCTCGACAACACCCCTCATCTACGAGTGCCTCTCGTGGTGATGATCATTTGTTTGCTGCTAGGTCGTGTCTTCTCTTGGGCGCCCATTTCTTCTCTTCTTCTTTAATTTTGATCCTTGTATGGTTTTCGGCCTGGTTCTTTTTATAAACGAGGTCAATTTGTTAAGGTTTTCGATCCGGTTTTCCTTATAAACTGGACCACACTGCTGGCATAATGGCCACTTTGAGTAATATATTCAGGTGGAGGGACTCCTCCCCCGATGATTCTCAAAAAAAATAAAGATGAAACTTGGGGTCACAACTCACAAGTCCCTTAATTTGAAAAAATATGCTGCATGTAGATGTAGGGTATTGCACCCTGATGCAGAGGCTGGGCTCATCCTCCTTTTTGAAAAAAAATGTAGATGTAGGATATTTCAAGTTTTATATGAACCGTAGAGAAATAGTTAGTACACTATAGCCAGTAGCCTTTTCTTCAACTATCACAACTGAGTTGAGCAATCAGATAAATCTATTTAGGTTCCGGATGGTCATGGCTCATGAGTCAACACCATTACAGGAAATAAGTTGCAGAAGGAGCAGGCTCAAGAGAAGGACGTTTGTAGTTCTATTCCTAACAAATCCTCCATGCTACCGACACTCCTTATAACACAAGACTACCTTTATGTAGCATAATTAACTACTCAAAAGATCCCAAAACTGTGATCTCCTACAGAAGAAAATCATTTGATGCATTATTTTCTCCCACATGGAAAACAGAGGAACATCACATCACAGGCTCACAGCTGATGAAGTTGAACAGCGTACTACTAAACGACGGATCCACGGTTCACTGGAGCAGGTCCAATGCACCTAACTAAGACTGCATAGAAGTAATCCACATGAAGGGAGCAAAGCTGTATATAAGTAAGTTCATACAGTACAAAGACGAGGAAATATCGGGGAACAAAAGCAGCTGCAACACGGATTCTTGGGACAACCACCGAGTACTGAGCCACAGTTGACAGGGATAAGGGAAATCATTCAGCAATGAGAGAAACACGTCACAGTTATCATAATTTTATTTTCGCTCATAACAGTCTCAGTCTCAGAAGCTAGTGTGTTCAGAAATATAGGTTAATTTGCAAGAGATGAATAGTTATTGACTCTGTGTTCAAGAACTGACAATAGTCTCCTGAAGCAAGCAACATGCGTTGGTTATTCAGAATCAGAACAGACCACCGAGTAGAATTCTCATGTCAATTGCTGTTCAAGCACAATTAATCACTACTTCCATCTTATGTTGTGCAATTGTGTCATAAGATTTAATTATTCAGATTCAGGCCAGACCACCGGGTAGTCTCCTGAAAAAAAAATCCATTAACCAAGTTTTTCTTCCGAGAATACAACCAAGTCTAATAAACGGAAATGGAGGCTCTGAAGACTGATAAGATGGCCTCCATGAATGGCCCAGTATCTAGACGGTGTCGGTCCGAGAACCGCACCCGCCATGAGGGTGACAGCTGGTGCTCCCCCCTGACCAGATGAAGCTTCATTTGTGCTATTCCGGCGTGCGCGGGCAGCAGACGACGAACAGGGAAGCAATGTTGTCCATGGTTCAGGTTCAGAGGGTATCCTGTCCAATCCACTTTACATGAAATGAAGCATTTTGATCTGATCCAAGATGTTGATTTTTGCGATAGCATCACGAAGTTTTTGCAGGGAGACAACCCAGTTTGGTGCTCTCTTTTAGCCCCGGCTGATAAAAGGATTTTCTTACTTGCTGCTTGATCTGGAAGTTAAGCCCTATATAGCATCTAAAAACAAAAGCTCAGCCTAGCAAAAGATAAAAGAAAAATTAATATTGGAGAAGTGGGGTATCGATCCCCATATACCTCTCGCATGCTAAGCGAGCGCTCTACCATCTTTCAAAACCGAAATATTTATATATTCAAACAGCAACACAACGTTCAGTGTCCAACATCAGATGCACTACCTCCGTCCGGAATTAGTTATCACTGAAATTGATATATGCAGATGTATTTCAGTGCTAGATCCATTTGATCGACAAGTAATTCCAGACGGAGGAAGTATTTTTCAGGCCACAGAAAAAAAAAACATGGATGGAAGCCTAACATCAATTCAAGATGCCAATGTCTTATCAGCACTAACAAGTTAGCTTTCTCTGGGAATATACTAGGCTAGTGAATAGCTTCCTTTCACAATCGCTATACCCTTAAATACACTCCTTATAACACAGGCGTACCTTCAACTGCTCATAATAAAATCATTTGATGCATTGTTTTCTCCCATTGGGAAAAAAAGAGGAATATCACAGCTGATGAACTTCAACGGCGTACTACTAAACGACGGATCCATGGTTCACCGGGGCAAGTCCAGTGCACCAGACTAAGACTGTATAGAAGTAATCTACATGAAGGGAGCAAAACTGTATACAAGTAACTTCACATACAAAGACTAGAAAATATCGGGGACAAAAGAAGCTGCAGCACAGATTATCTGGGACAACCACCAATATTGGGCCGCAATTGACAGGGATAAGAGAAATCGTTCGGCAACGGTCAAAAGCTGGGTTGGTGATAGATAAATAGTTATCGAGTCTATGTTACTGGACTGACAGTAGTCTCCTGAAGCAAGTAACTTGTGCTGATTATTCAGATTCAGGCCATACCACACAGTAGAGTCCTCGTGTAGCCATGTCGATTGCTCATCGTCTGGTTAAACTATGACACGAGGTAGCAGAAATCTGTTCAAGCGTTTTAACACTTGGATGAAAGTAACCTTCAAATTCGAATAAAGATTTTCTTCATCCTATTATTTTGTTTCTTGGACTCAACATATAAATACATGCCCGTGTGCTTGGATTAATAGAAGAAGAACACCGAATAAATTAAAATAGTGGCAATATTGATAATGGCCTCCATGAATGGCGCGGTATCTATATGGTGTCCGGTCCGAGAACCGCACCCGCTATGTGGGTGGCCGCCGGTGCTCCCCTCCGGACCAGATGAAGCTTCATTTTGTGCTATTCCGGTGTGCACGGGCGGCAGATTAAGAGCAGTGTAGCAATGCTGTCAATGGTTCAGGTTCAGCGAGTATCCAGTCCGTCCACTGTACATCTCGCTTAAAACCAACAGGAAGCATGTGATCCAGGATGTTGATCTTTGCGATAGCCTCACGAGGTTTTGCAGGGAGACAGCCCAGTTTGGAGCTCTTTTTTACCTGATTGATTGATAGAAATAGAGGATAGTTGCTACTTGCATCTAGTATAAGAGAAAAAAAAGGTTCAGCCTAGCAAAACAGAAAAGAAAAATAGTTTTGGAGAAGTGGGGTATCGATCCCCATACCTCTCGCATGCTAAGCGAGCGCTCTACCATCTGAGCTACATCCCCTTGTGTTGCTCTCTCTCTAACATACATATATATGTATGAATTACGAACACAAAGTTCAGAGACCTCACGGCAGATCTATTTCTTCAGGACACGGAAAGGAAAATTCTTCTTCTGCTTCCCGTCATCCCTCGGATACGCTGTACTGTTCCTGCTGATACGTTGAGTCGAGTTTCTGAAACTGAATCCTGTTTGGCTCATCCGATAAGGAACGAAAGCAAACCATGTATGATCGCCAATCTCTTCTCTTGGCATCAACCGAAGATGCCAATGTCTGTCCATCAGCATGAACAAGTTAGCTTTCTGTAAAAATAAATTTCCTTTCCGTAACACGAGTATACTGTACAGAAGAAGTAAAACAAGTCGCTACCAAACGGGATGGAAAGCGTGCATTGATTGCAGGCACAGTGTCGCCACCAGTACCGCGTCCGTACTCGATCGGCACTGCTGTATGATGGCCAAGTACCCCAACGACTGACAAGGAAGGAGGTCGACGGACAAAATTGAATCGCGTCGTTTGCCCTTGAGTGCACGGCGGGAGACGGCGACTAGACTGGCCTATACCTCGCATCACTGTCTCATACAGCACTATTTGAATTGGATTAGTTGCGTTGCGATTAAACATACATTCATCACAGCTAAATCCGACAGATTAACTCGTTTTCAGCCATGCATGCAGAGCATTGCCAGTGGACAGCAGAGTAAAAAATGGGATGTGCAGCGCCCTGCTCTGAGCCCGGCGTGCCGGCCACGCGTACGTGTCAGTCGAGATTTGGCCGGAATCACATCCACCATCCCAGACCAAAGTCCAACTTGGATGGAATCATTTCCAGTTTCCCACCCAGAAACCCAAGCGGCACCCGATCACACTCGCTCACACTGACACTAGCTCACCAAACACTCATCACTAGCTAAGCTGCCTGCTGCCGCTCATGGCGTCGCCGAAGAAGGCGAGGAAGCCGCGGGCGAGGCGCCCCCTGCTGCTCCGTCGGGCCATGCTGCACGCCTCCATCTGCTTCCTCGTCGGCCTCCTCGCCGGCCTCGCCCCGGCCGCCCGCTGGACGGCCTCCGCCTCCGCCCACGTCTCCCGCGCGCTCCACGCCGTCGACGGCGCCTTCGACCGCGCCGTGCTCCTGCTCCGGCAGCAGCAGCGGCAGCTGCGGGACGGGCGCGTCCACGTCGCCGTCCTCCCCTCGCCGGCGCCGGGGCCGCCGGCGCTGGAGCCGCTGCGGCAGCCGCAGCTGCTGCTGGTGGTGACCGCCACCGAGCGGTCCGACCCGGAGCGGCGGGCCGCGGGGCTCACGCGCGCCGCGCACGCGCTCAGGCTCGTGCCCCCGCCGGTGCTGTGGCTGGTGGTGGAGCGGGCAACGGAGGCCCTGCCCACGTCGGGGTTGCTGCGCGGCGCCGGGGTGGCGTACCGGCACCTGACCTACCCGGAGAACTTCACGGCCGACGGCGTCGGCGTGGAGAAGGAGCGGCACCACCAGCGGAACCTGGCGCTGGAGCACGTGGAGGAGCACCGGCTGGGCGGTGTCGTGCTCTTCGCCGGCCTCGGCGACGTCTACGACCTCCGCTTCTTCGACCAGCTCAGGCAGATCAGGTGAGTGCGCGCGCGCGTCGTGCCTCCTAAACTTTTAGCTACTTCGTTCTAGCCATCGGATCATGCATCGTGCATGCACTTTTTCACCGCCATCACAACCGCATTTTAGCATAGTGAGTTACCAGCTGGATGCATGATCTTGATTCTTGAACATTGTTAGCATAGTGAGTGTTTGGCCGGTTTCGGTGGAGTTTGAGGACACGTACTACAATAGTTGATGGTTGACAAGCAGTTAATAAGCATGCGACTGGAAGTAGGCCATGGTGACCATGGTGACCAATGATAGTACGACGCAGCTTTGAATCGACCAGGAATAGCTAGATGGCATGGCATGATGGATGCCACAGCACACAGCAGCACCAGCAGCAGTGTACCATGTGTGTCGCGCGAACGCGTCCATGCATGGCATGTAAGGACCATGCTCTGCTCTCGATGCTCTGCCTCCTCTGCTTCAGCGCCCGCCCAAGTGTCGGCACCGCCGTCCAGTCCGGGAAACATGGATGGATGAATGATTGGCCACCTTTAATCAATCTGAACCATTTCTGTGCACTCATTCATTAGCCGTCGCTTTTTGGTACGTGCCACTGACACGTGCACTGTGCATGTCTATGGTGCAGGACGTTCGGCGCGTGGCCGGTGGCGACCGTGTCGGAGCGCGAGCGGAAGGCGACGGTGGAAGGCCCGGTGTGCGGCGGCTCGCCGTGGGCAGTCACCGGCTGGTTCTCCACGGCCGACGCCGCGGGTGCGCCGACGGTGAGGGCGAGACCGCCGGCCGGCACGGTGGACGTGGCGCGCTTCGCGTTCGGCAGCGCCCTGCTCTGGCACCCGAGCCGCTGGGACAGCTTCCCCGTCTCCGAGCCCGACGCCTCACAGGTACAGTGCTCAATTACCTAACTGGCTTCAATATTTTAGTCCGCGGTTCCGCACACGGCGACGGCGGCCTTGTCGTCAAAGCGGCCGCGAAAGCGTGCGGCTTTTCGTCCGTGAAATTTGCCCCGTCAATTTTGTTGCTGTGCGCCGGCAAGACGAACGGCCGGGGCAGGACATAAACCAAAGCCGTGATTCATGCGCGGCGGGCACCGCCACACTAGCTTCCATTTGTCTCGATCTTCACTTCACTAGAGCGCAAAATATTGATTAGTCAGCAGTATCATAGGCTCATGGCCCTGTCTTGGCTAACCCTATATTTGTTTTGTTTTCAGGATTCCGTGAAGTTTGTGCAGCGGTTGGCCGCGGAGGATTACAACAAGTCGAGGGGGATGCCCAACCGGGACTGCTCGGAGGTCATGGCGTGGCGCGGAGATCAGTTCCTAGCAACCTAGTTTCAGTCAGTAACCGGTTGAGTGACTTGTGGTATCACGGAACAACAAATTTAGAAATACAACAGACTTAAACGGTCTCAGATAAGAAAGTACACATACTTTGCGTTTTTTTTTTCTTTTTGCAGGAGAAATACTTGTATTACTCAAATTACCAATTCATTACCGTCATCTCGCACTATCTTCAAAACTTCTAAGAGGACCAGAACCAAGCCGAGTCATTGTCCTGCCATTAACTCTACCTAAACTAGCTAAATTATCTCTAGCCTTATTCTGGGAACAAAAAAATGTGAGTAATGCAAGTATGTGTAAAACTCAGGAGATATCTAATCTCATTCACCAGCGAAGCATAGACCGAAC